TCCATTTCACCATTCTGTGTCTCTTAATTGGTAAATTTAGACCATTGACATTGAGAGAGATTATTGTTATGGCGTTTTGTGTCATCTTTCTGTAAGGGTTTGTTGTGCTTGTTGGGTCTGTCTTATCTTATAGAAGCCCCTTTAGTCCTTCTTTTAGGTTTGGTTTTGAGTCTATGAAGTTCCTGAGCTGTTTTTCTAGAAAATAGTGTACGGTTCCTTCAAGTTTGAGTGAGAGTTTATCTGGATAGAGTATTCTTGGTGAAGCATTCATTTCAGTGAGTTTTTTCACTATATCCCACCATTGCCTTTGGGCTTGGATGGTTTCCTCTGATAGGTCTACTGTGAATCTAAGGGGTCCTCTTTTGTGTGGGATTTCCTTCTTTGATCTTGCTGCTTGCAGTATTGTGTCTCTATCAGAGGCATCAATCATTCTAACTATGATATGTTTTGGAGTGTTTCTGTTAGGGTCTATTTTAGCTGGCACCCTTTGGACTCCTTTAATCTGAATGTTTGTATGTCGAGCTCTGGGAATTATTCAGCAATGATTTGTTTAACCGTGGCTTTTTCATTGGGATTGTTTCCCCGAGCTTCTGGTACTCCAATGATTCTAATGTTGTTCCTCTTAGAATCATCTCCTAGGACTCTGATTCGCTCTAGAGCTATTTTGAGGTCTCTTGCCATTGTTTGTTGTTGTCTGTTGGCTTGGTGCAGCTGATCTTCCAGCTCACTGATTCTGTCTTCAGCTGTGGTCATTCTACTGTAGAGGGCAAAGACTGAGTTTTTTTATTTCATCTACGGAATCTTTTATGCGTGACATTTCTGCTCTCATTTCTTCCCGTAATTTCTCGATTGTTTCTATCATGTTACTGGATATCTGTCTGACTGTTTCACTGAGTTCATTGAACCGCTTCATGACTTCATATCTGAATTCTTTCTCAGAGAGGTCCTTTAGGTGAATAGCACCTTATTGAGGCTTCTGGTTCTTTTCATCTTCGTCCCCACGTGGTGGGGATTTGCGGTGTTTCTTCATGTTTGTGTAGGTATGGGAACTGAGATGTTACACTAGATTTCTTGGTATGAGTGATGTACCTGCGGACGCATAGCAGCTGCCAGCCCAGAATTAGGTCACGGACACTTCTGAAGAGGCCACGCCCCCACGGCAACCTGGTGGGAGGAGTACTAGCTGGGAGGGGAAGAAGACCAGCACGACATTGGGGACGAAGAGGAAGAGGCTCAGGGCTGCTTTTGTCCCAGGGTCCTAGAGGACACCTGGGGTGCTTGCATGGAGAAAGCCAAGTTCTGGGTTCGAATACTGGTGGATAATCTGACCTGGGTGGAGAAGACTAGCACAATGTTGGGGACAAAGAGGAAGAGGCACAAAACATTTCAAAATAAACTTTATCGCACCATATGGTTTCTCACCGGGACCAGTTCACCAATACATGAACATAATTAAAACTTCAGTGATCAAACTTTTCCTGTACAACTGGACGCCATCTGTTCACCAAAGTCACCTCTCCTTCCTGCCACCTCCAACAGTCATCTACGGTAAGTATCTGAGCGCCAACTGCAACTGTAGGAAGGCATCCTGTCATGTGACTACAGAAACAGGGAGAACCACCTTAATGCCGTAAAACATTAGGGCGATAGGAAGCAACAACTAAAGGGAAAGCCAGATCCTGGGGTGTGTCTTGATTTCAGCTGTGTGCTGAACTAGGGAGAGGACCCCCACAGAAAGGGGCATACTGGAGCAAGCAGAGTCATGAGACCCCCACCCGTGAGCCTGGCACAAGCTCTGCCCGTGCCCTGCTCTCTCTTGTCGGCTGGACCAAAGGGAAGCCCGAGAGCAGCCCTCAAGGGGAGAGGCTCCGTCACCACCTCCAAAGCCTCAGGCACGGAAGCTGGCAGTCGTCCCCAAAGACACTGTCCCTTCATTTCAGTAAGTGAGGACTTTCCCTGGCCTTTGGGTCCATGAAATCAATTCCGTTGAGAACAGACAGGCATGCAGAGAGAAAGAGTGATGGCTGAGGGGGTGGGAGGAATACGCAGAAATACAGGAAGTTTCTGGTGGCAGCACAACTTCCTGGGTGTAGTGGGACTGTAGGGCGATGCTGGACGGGCTGCACTGCAGGAATGAAACCCAGCCCAGGAGCTGGAGGCAGCCGATACAGGTGTCAGCAATGACCTTGAGCATGAAGGAAGGAGCAAAGTGGATGACCCAGAAAACGTGCCCATTCAATTCAGATGCCATAACCTCCCTCCTCACTCGGACTGACCTTGGGGATGAACTTGGTGCCCATGGACTGAGCCAAGTGCCTCAAAGGCATCCCACCCGGTTCTGCTCCCTCCCAGGGAGGCAGCTTTGCGCCATGTGAGAGAGAACTAACTAGCACAGAAACTCATCTCAGCTAACCATTCTCATCTCAGAGAACCACAAAGAGAAAAATCGCAACTCATGAGGCGGCATGTCCATAACCGTTGGCATACGCAAGTTCACGATGGACAAATGAGTGTAAGCCACAGGGATTTAAAGACCTATGGTTAGAGAACAATTGCTTAGAGCTAATTTTGTGAAATGGATGGTCAATTCAGGAGATGTCAATAATGGGAACCTAATCTATGAGAGCTGTTCCAATGACAGCCGTGCTCCAAGGCTGAACAAGGCTCCTTATTTAGGACAACAGGTGGCTCAATAGGGGCCATGGAGGAGTCGAGTTTCAACCCCTGGCACTGAAGAGTCCTCGGAGCACTTCCCAGAGCGAAGCTGGAGCACTGACTCAAGAGAAACTCCTGAGCACTGCCAAGTGTGGCAAAACCGTGTGGAGTAATTTACTAATGCCTGAATGGTGGTTTATTGGATTGATGGTTTAGTACTGAAAGTAGTGAGCAATGGAAAACATAGCATTATCAATTAAAGATCAGGGATTAAGGGGGCATTCCTTCTCTCCATCGTATGAATGAAAATCTTCACAATGAACCTGTTTACTGAAAATTCCAATTCTGGAAAACGTTGCTTCTATCCATTTTTATCCGTAGAAATGCAAATGTGATAAACTAATATTGTGGAGCTGGGTAACAGACACTGGTGCAGATAAGACCCGACCTCGCAAAGCAGCCTGGACCAAAGCCTCGCAAGACGGAGTATCTGGGCAAAGTCGGCAAGAACAGGGTGTCAGTCAGCACCAGGTGTTGGCCTTAGGCCTCACTCAACCTCCTTGTCGCATGAGCCCTACTCACAGAAACTGTCATGTACGCTTAGTAATTTATCCTAACTGCAGCATTTAGAATTGATGGATTGGACCGGGGCATAGCAGAGAAGGAGCGGTGACAGGCCAATAACGCTGAACTTCATGTGATTGGACTTTCTTGCGAGCCGAGACCCTCAGTAAAAAAATGTGTGTATCTGTCAATAAAGTGAACAGCCATCAGCTGCTCCAGGAGGGTGTTTCTTCGTGCATCCTTTCCCCACATCTGCCTGGGCCCTGTGCACAATGTGTCTGGGCACCACTGGGGGGAAAACTGTTCCCCAACATAATATCCTAATTCCCGATCTTTTAAAACTTCCAAAACCAACACAACACAATCCTGTGTAACTTTTAACTTTCCTATATATCTGTCTTAGATATATCTGCCCAATACAAAACTGAGTTAATTAGTAAAATTCTCCCGTCGAATGTCACTGACACACAAAGTCAAAGCAAGGGTGCGATACCTGGAACACACGTTGGTACTGCGGGCTTCCAACTACTGTCAGCGTCACACCTGATTATGTCGCTGCCTCGTAGGACAAAACCTGTGTTGCAGTCAAATAAAACCGTTGTGTTGTAGTAACGTTTTTTTGGAATTATTGATCTTGGCGTTCCATGGGGTACCACCGGATACGGACATTTAACCACTGAAAAGTTGAAAAAGTCCAGAATGAACATAAATCGGTATCAACACAAGACAGTAAACCATTCAAAATAGTACAGTGAGAACGAGGACTAGGAGAGTTACACAAAGTATACATATGGGCATTCTGTATTCCCATTATGCTCAGGGCAGTGGACCCGAGGTCCAATCCCTTTGGCACGGACCAGGAGGTGCGTTCTTCCACTGCAGGGATTCACACAAGTTGTCTGCCCACCCTCAGCAAGACCGTGAATGATTTACTGGCATAGAGATGGGGGCCTATGAGAACTACTTGCTAGGAGCACCCATGCATTTTGGGTAAATATGTTTTCACTTTTTTGGACTGCTGAGTTATACGGGAAGGGTCAGGGTAACTTCACTGGGCAGTGCTCAGTGTTTATCCTGTCTCTGCATTTGGGTTACTCCTGGCGGATGGGGCAATATATACAGGGTGCCATGCATAATACCGGGTTTCCATGTGCAAGGCAAGAATCCTACCTGCTGTACTATCACAATATTCTCATTCTTTGTATAAGTGTATCAATTTATAATTAGGACTTTAATTTTGTTGTGTTTAATTTGTTGATGAAGCTAGAAGTGACATTTCTATCTTACAGAATTTTTCAATCCACATCCATTGGAATCTCCATTCAAGGTTTTCTTTAGTATCCTTTATCAGTATTAGCAGGTTTTACGTTACAAGTCTTTCTTGGGTATCAGATTTATATTGGGTATTTGATTTATATTGTTTGAATTGTACTTTAACCAAATTCTTTAATATTTAACAAGTGATAATCATTTAAAAGGTTTTATTAAGTACTTCACCCAGTCAGTGTTAAAAATATCAATTTTCTGTGGTTTAATTCTAGGCAAGAGACCATTTCTGTATGTTAAATGTGTATTTTGCAAGGACTTGAATCTATAATGAATCTATAATTTTCTATAGATAACTGTGTCATAGGTAAAAATAGATTTTAAATTCTTGTTTTATGGGGGGGGATTGTTTACTTTTTTACATATTTGTTTACGTATAGTGTCTCCATAGAAGTCAAAACTGAAGGAGGAAATAACGGAAGTACTATTACCTTCACACCGAGGAGGAGTGCCGGTCCAATCTCCATCAGCAGAACAAACACGCTTTTTCGTCCCAATAAGGGAGTATTCATCTGGCCCGGTTGAAGGGTTGCAAGTGTAAGTCACAACTTCACCATATTCAAAAACTTCCTTGTGACTGTTGGAGTACTTCCCGTTCGGTATTTTCTCAGGTGGTCTACACAATACCTCTTAGAAAGTGGGGAAAAGGACATAAGTAGCAAGAGCTAAAGTAAAAAGATCACTGCAGCATTAGGGTTCCCTGAGCTGGACCAATACACTAGTGCTTAATAGCTCTGAGCTAATTTTGAATCCAATACCCCTTCAGAAGAGCGACACTATAAGAAAATGTGATTCCTAAATTCAAGTGATTGATGTAGAAGTGAACATCGTGGAAAAGGCATCTATTTAAGCAAATATAAAATATCTACATTGGGAGGTATGTTTGTCTGCAAGGTCAGGCTAGGTTTGTCTCTATAAGAGGTGATGACAATTTAGAAAGAGAAAAATGTTTGTGAGTAAAAAATCAGTTAAATGGAGTTTAGAAATTTGATAGTTTATCAATATATCTGTATACTAAATTGATTATTCACAAAGTAGCTGGATGTCTTGTTCACTTGATCACTTGACTTCCCATTAATTATCGATTTGCTCAAACAGGCGCCAGTAATGTCTCATTTGTCCCTGTTGCGTGCTAGTGTAGCCCAATGGCGTCTGTTCATTCTAGGAACACAAAGAGCCTCAAACCGATTGTTCAGGGTCTTGATGACGAAGTCTGACCATCTCGTAGGTGGGAGGCCATGCGGTCTTCTGACGTCCTGCAGAATCCAGTCGGTAATGGCTCTAGTCTGGCGGTTTTCTCCAAATCTCTTGTTACTTTCCTTTTATATTTTTACTCTTTCTTGTTACTACCACCCTTAGAAGTATAGTTAAATTTTCCAGAGATAGCAAACTATGTAATGTTACACACAGTGACTCCAAATGTCTTCTTTTGTCTCAGAAATGAGGGAGACTACACTGTAGAAACAGTAGATAAAGTTTAAGTTTATCTGGAAGGAATCGAAAAGCAAAACTCACTATTTACATCTAATAAACCTTTGTTACCGTTTAGCTTCAAAAAAAAAACCTTAAGACTCTTACAAGTGACATTTTAGAGGAAACACGCAAAACCACGTTTATCCGCTGGCATCTTGTTCTTCCTCAAAGTCGCCAATCTGTCCCCAAATCCAGCTAAGTTAGGTCAAAGCTCCTATGTTCCTGTATAAAAAAAGTTCCCGGAACAAAGGACTTGGAGGCACAGCGGAGCGAGGGGCCTCCTGCCCTGCATGAAGACTGCACGAGGCCTTTCCCGTCGGGAAAGAAATGGTAAAACAGCACGTGGCTGTCTTTTGTTAAAAAACTTGGGCGTCATAATTTACTACGTGACTTGCAGTTGAGTTTTAGGCATACGATTTTCCAACACCCGTCTCATCACCGTGTCAGCTTCCCTCTACCAAAGCGTCTCTTTCCCTTCCGACCTGTCTCCTTGACAGGTACCTTTTAGGTTTGGTCATTGCAGTTTGGATCTCATGCTTTCAGCTTTGTTAATATTATGGTTAGCACTGGCCTGTCTTATTTATTTATTTATTTTGGTGTGTGGGCGAGGTCTTTGCATTTTTTCTTTTTTTATTGAAACACCATGATTCACAGTTACAAAGTTGTTCATTATTGAGTTTTCTCTCACGCAAAGTTCTAACACCCATCCCTTCATCAGTGTAGATTTCCTGCCACCAATATCCCCAATTTCCCTCCTTCCTGGACCCCCCTCCTAGTTCTGCCTCTTTTCTTCTCTATCTTCCTTTTACCCTTTTTCTTTTATAGGCACTGTGGTTTGCAACACTGTTACTAAAAGGGTATCATGGATATCACTTTACCTCCTTTAAGAACTCAGTTCTTGTGCAGAGTGATCATTTCCAACTACCATTATCATAGTGGTCCTCTCCTCTCCCTGCCACCGCCCTTTCTGGCAAGCTTCCTACCACGGGCCAGTACTCCTAGCTCTCATTTCTACTGTCTTTGGGTACTATTCTTATCTACCCATACAGTTTTATTTTAATATCCTGTGAATACAATCATTCTATATCTGTCCCAATCCCTATGACTCATTTAATGTAGCATAATACTCTCTTTGTCCTTCTATGTAGAATCAAATTTTATGATTTCCTTTTTCTTAGTGGCTGCATGATAATCCATTGTGTAGATATATCATAGTTTCTTTATCCTGTCATCTGACCTTGGGCACTTGTGTTTTTTCCAAGTTCTGGCCATTGTGAAGGGTGTTGAAACAAACACAGGGGAAGAGGGAAGCTTTCTGCATTGTTTTTGGACCTCTTAGGGTATATTCCCAGGAGTGGCATTGCTGGGTTATATGAAAATTCAATCGTCCATATTGTTTTCCCAAAAAATGACTGGGCCAGTGGGCATTCCAACTAGCAATGAATGAGAGTCCCTTTCTCCCCAAATCTGCAACAGCACAGGTTGTTCTTGTTCTTTTGAATGTTTGCCAGTCTCTGTGGTGTTTGGTGATATGTTATAGTTCTTTTGCATCTCCCTGATGATTAGTTGTTTTTTTTTTTTTTGTCTTTTGGTCATTTGCAGTTCTTAATTGAAGAATTATCTATTAAAGTTCTACAAGTGCCTTATATATCCTGGATAATAATCCCTTATCCGTTGAGTGTTGGGTAAATAATTTTCCCCATTCTGTGAGACATCTTTGTATCCTGGTCATCATTTCCTTTGAGATATAGAAGCTTCTTAGTTAATGTTGTCCATTTTGTTTATCTTTGCTTCCACTTGCTTGGTCAGTGGTGTTCCATCCTTGAAGATGCTTTTAGCTTCAATGTGATGGAGAGTTCTGCCTACATTTTCCTCTATGTACTTTATGAATTCAGGTCTTATATCAAGATCTTTACTCCATTTTGATTTAACTTTTGTATATGGCAGTGGGAAGCGGTCTGAGTTCCTTTTTTCTAATGCCACGGGCCTGTTTATGAGGTTTCCTTGCACTACTTAGTATTTTTTGTTTCTTTATTGAATATAAACTGATAATATACCTGAGGGCATGTCTCAGGATATTCAAGTCTATTTCTTTGATCTGACAGTCTGTCTAATACCATGTTGTTTGAATTACTGCTTCATAACACAGTTTGAATTTGGGAAAAGTGATGTCTCCTGTCTTCTTTTCCCCAAGGATCGCTTTAGCTATTCTGGGTGGTTCATTTTTCACATGAATTTCCACATGTTTGATCTATTTCTTTGAAAAATAACATGGGATCGTATGCTTATAGTGATTGCGTTGAATCAGTACAATGATTTGGGAAAGTATTGCCATTTTGATGATACTAATCCTCCCAATCTATGAGCATGACATTTTTTCATGTCCTCTTCTATTCTTAAACAAGCAATTCATATTTTTTAAAAAATTTTTTTGTATAGGTCTTTTACCTCTTTAGTTAAGCAGATTCCAAGATTTTCTGGTACATAGTTGTGAGTAGGACTTTAATAATATATCTTTCTACCTTCATTATCTGTGTATAAGAGAGGTCTGGAATTTTACACATTAATTTTGCAGACAGCCACTTTACTATATAAATCTATTATTGTTTCTTGAAGCTTTTTGGTAGAGTCTTTAGGAATTTCTAAATATAGTATCATATCATCTGCAAAAAGTAAGAGCTTCACTTCTTTCCTATCAAGATGCATCTGGTATCATTTTCTCGCCTAATTACTATGGCAAGTACTTCCAGTACTATATTGAATAGAAGTGTAAAGAATGGGCAACCGTGTCTTGTGCCTGATCTTAGGGGGAAGTCTTTTAGGTTTCCCTCAATGAGTATAACGTTTTCTATGGGTTTTTGTAAAGGTTTTTGCCTATATTGAGGAAAGTTTCTTCAATTCCCATTTCATTCAGTTTTTTAAAAATCATGGATGAATGGGTACTGGATCTTGTCAAATGCTTTCTCTAGAGAGCTTCTATTTATAGATAATGTGGTTTTCATTTTTCTTTCACTGATATTGTGGATTTTGTTGATGGCCTGCATATGGGTTTAATTTTCTAATCTACTCTGCCACTCAGTGTCTCTTATTTGGTGCACTTAGAACTTTGATATTGAGAAACATTCTTGTCATGGGTTTTGTGCCATCTTTCTTCAGGAGTTTGGTGTGCTTGTTGGACCTGTTTTAATGTACTCCTTTAAGTATTCCTTTAGTTCTTCTTGTAAAGATGGTTTTGCATCTATGAAGTTCCTGTGTGGTTCATCTGCAAAGTTGTTTATTGTTCCTTCAAATATGAATGACAGTTTGGCTGGGTAAAGTATTCTTGGTGAGGCATTCATTTCATTTTTTTCACTCTATCCCACCACTGTCTTTGGGTTTGGAGGGTTTTATTTGATAAATCTGCTGTAAATCTTAAGGCTGCTCCTTTCTATATTGTTTCTTTAATATTGCTGCTTTTGGTATTCTATCTATGTTTTTATCATTATGATTAGAATGTGCCTTAGTGTACTTTTACTTGCATTTCTTTAAGATGGTCCTTTTCAGGTCTCCTGAATCTGAGTGCGTGCACTCTTCCGCTCTTGAAACGTCTCAGTAATGATGTCTTTGACTGTTGGTTCATCATCAGGGTGGCCTTCCCGGTCCTCTGGGGACCCAGTGATTCTTATGTTGTTTCTCTTTAATTGATGCCAAAGTTCTCTTGTCAGTTATCAATTATTTTGAGGTTTTTCCCCATCTTCTGTTTTTGTCTGGAGATTTTCTGCATTTCACCTTTGAGCTCACTGATTCTGTTGTCAGCAGTCATTAGTTTTTTCCTTATTTCCATTTCATATGCTCTTGTGTTTGTTAGTCCACGCCAGTTTCTTTGATCTTCAAAAAAATTCTCAAAATTTCCTCTCTAAATTCCTTATCAGTTTATGTAGGTCATTATTACTGGTTGAGTCCTCTGGGCTACCACCTTCACTCACTAAAGCGGTGAGGTGCTGTGTTGCATTCACAATGTGACTTCTGCAGTCCAGAGTTGTTTTTTGCGTGTTTTTGTGTGGGTAGGTGGCTAAAGTTAGAATGTTTTTGTTTGTTCACGGCGAGTTTTGGAAAGGAGAAGAAATGTGGGGCCACTGTATGGCTGCATGCTTCATGGGCAGGGAGGTGACCTGATCTGGGGGCAAAATAGTGATAGTAAAAAACAGGGACCCTGGTGTTGCTCTGGGATTCCTCAGTTTTCTGGGACCAGGGATTGGCGGAGCTAAGTCCAGAAAGCTAGCAGCCCTCCCTCTACTTGTCCAGTTCTCAGGTGGGGAAATTCTGAACTGGGGGCCAAAATGGTGATCCTAAATCACACTTGCCTTTCTGACACACTAGAAAGTGGCTCAGAATACATCAAGTAACCTACTAAAGAAAAGGTCATCGTCTATGGTATAACATTCCTAAGTCTAAAGGGGTATTGAAATAACAAAGTACTGATTACTGCTCTAATATCTAAACAGAGACCAAACTTACTTCCACATAGTGGAGGCTCATGCTCCAGTCCACAGTGTTGCCAACTAATTCACAGTAAAGAACTTTAGATACAATTAAGCAAAAACTAAGCAGCACTGTAGCCCTGTCCACTGTCCTCCCATTGTTCATCCATTTGCTTGAGCGGGCATCTGTAATGTCTCTATTGTGAGACTTGTTGTTACTGTTTTTGACATATCCAATATGCCATGGGGGAGCCTGCCAGGCTCTTCTGTGCGGGGGGGGGGGGGGGATACTCTCGTTAGCTTGTTGGGATCTCCGAGAGGGATGGAGGAATCAAACCCAGGTCTGCCACGTGCAAGGCAAACATCCTACCTGCTGTGCTATCACTTCAGCCCATGTGACCTACACCTAAAATATTCACTCTGCAATTGTCACAGAGGGAAAAAAAAGCCAACTCCTCGTTGAATAAACTCATTTCAATAGTGAATGCTGATAATATTACATATGTTATTAGCATTGTAATTTTAATTATCTTCTTTCTGCTGCTGTATTGGGGGCTCTTTCAGGGTCAGGGGAATAAGGCCCATTGTTTTTACTGTTTTTGGCATATTGAATATGCCACGGGTAGCTTGCCAGGTTCTGCCGTTTTGGCGGGATATTCTTGGTAGCTTGCCAGGCTCTCCGAGAGGGATGGAGGCTTTTAGGGCAGCCTCCAATCGCCATTATAGGTGTTCCCATGGTTCACACTATATTTGAACTCCATCACATATGGTGCAGTAATCATGGAATATGGGTATTAAGTGTCTTATGATGTTCCAGAAAGCAGCCTGGAGCATGGTGGCAGCTGGGCAGTGGAGGTAGTGGAGGTAGTATTATAAATTCACTACCAGGATCTCACCATTCTATAAGGAAGTGATCATCGATGTCGAGAGGGGTTCCACAGGGTGATAACTTTTCACCGAAACTCTTCAGTGCCACCCTCGAGAACGTCGTGCGATGACAGGAATGGGAAGGAATGGGAGTGAAGATAAAAGGTCATCAACTACAACACCTCCGCTTTGCTGATGACATTGTTTTAATAACACCAAACATCAGCCAAGCGGCACAAATGCTGGCCAAATTCTACTGTGAGTGTGGAAAGGTCGGACTGCAGCTGAATCTCACCAAGACAATGTTCATGAGAAACGGTCTTGTTCCTGATGTTCCATTCGCTCTCAATGTAATGAACATCTCTGTATGCAGCAGTTATGTGTACCTAGGTCGAGAACTCAACATGATGAACCACCTGGCACCTGATCTGCGCAGGAGGAAGAGAGCAACGTGGAATGCCTTCAAGAGCATCGAAGAAGTTGTTAAGAGGATAAAGAATCTCCAGCTCTGGGCACATCTCTTCGACTCCACCATTCTTCCTACATTAACATACACCTCAGAGACCTGGGCCCTAGAAAAACAGGATGAAAACGCTATTCGGGTCTCCCAAAGAGGAATTGAAAGAGCCCAGCTTGGAGTATCATGCTTCACTCACGTGAGAGAAGGAATCCGGAGTTCTGACCTCTGTCGACTATTGAAAATCAGGGATGCTGTCTCGTTTGCCAAGGCAAAATCAGATGGGCTGGACATGTAATGAGATTTGGAGATCTCTGGACTAGAGCAGACTGAATCCCAGAGAACGTCAAAAGATCACGTGGCTGCCCACCTAAGAGATGGTCAGACTTCTTCGTCAAGACCATAAAGGAATGGTTTGAGGTTCTTCGTGTTCCTGGAGTGAGCAGAAGTCACTGGGCTACACTAACACATGACAGGGACAAATGGAGACGTTACTGGTGCCCGCTTGAGCAAATCGATGAGTAACAGATGTCAAGTGATCAAGTGACCTTATTTTTGCAATTTTCTCTTTTTTTATAATATCTAAACAGAGACCAAACTTACTTTGACATAGTGGAGGCTGATTGCTCCAGTCCACAGTGTTGCCAACTAATTCACAGTAAAGAACTTTTGATCCAATTAAGTGGAAACTAAGTAAGGAAAGAAAAAATTACTATTATTTCTATACAGAAAACTGAGAAGTAACATTTTATGTTTTCCTTCAACAGTAGTTTAAGGATTAGTCTTAGATACATGAGAACAGAGAAAAGGGAAGTACAATTAATGCAGTAAGTAGCTGGTGTAAGTGAGAACTCATGATCCTGCAACAAGGGCTATATCCATCGGTGCACATGGCCACAGCTGCCTCCACAGTCACCTCACACTCACTGGGAGACCCCTTCCCTCACACCCTCCTCTCAGCAAGACTGCGGCTATGGAGAGACCAGGCCCTGGGATGGGCTGTCTGTACTTGCTACACCTGGGAAAGTCCCCTGACAATTTAGGGCTCAGCTTCCTGCACCAGATAGTGAGAGGACTAAGCTCCAGGCCGGGGTGGGGAAGCTCTAGCTCTTGGCAGTCCTTTAGGTTGGAACATCTTTCTAGGAATCGCCCAGGTTACTGCTCTGGAATCTTCTCTGATGGTTTAGTCAGAGTTCCCTGCTTCTGCTGGACAGACCCCACTGCCACAGTCATAAATATGTTCTTGCCCACAGTTGCTCTGACAACTGTTCATATATGATGTATTTATCAAAAGGGTACCACATATTCAACAAGTCTACTTGTTAAACTTCCAGAAATCCTCAAAAAGCCTACATGTAGGCTCACTCAGGCACGTAGGAAGGATGTGCCAGCCTGCGCATTGGATATCTAAAAAATACCAGCAACTGCCAGCACCTGCTTTTAGTTGACATCTCCTGAGGCTCACGCATCTTCTTATGTTCAGGTGAGGAGTGATTCTGGAGCCAACCAGGAACCTGCTACCACCTCCATACAGTGGCAGGGGGCTAGGGACATACCTCAAGGCTCAGAGATACTTACCTGGCATGAACTAGAACTCAAATTGGATCCCCATTACCACAAGTTCCCAAGCACCTCTAGGTATAGTTCTGGAGGTCCCAGAGCACAGTAGGTCTGTAGCACTGAACCATCTCGACCAGTGAACTATTTCGGGGAGTGCTGCTGTGCCCTCTGAGCAATGGGAGCCCACCAATATTTAGGGAAAAAAAGAAGAAAGTAAAATTATGACTTCTAAGACCAATTGCACGAAGGAGAAAAATGATAGCAATGACACATGGCCCAGGACAAAGCTGAGACCTGATCAGAGCAGACTAAAATAATGAGTAAGATAAACCAATATAATGCTTACCATGAACATAGCCTACAACACTAAAAAAAATCCCACAAAATTCAAAATTCCCCACCTTGGACTCAGCAAGAACCTGGCCAAACTACGAGATCTGTGAAATTGAGACCTGGAGCCACCCGGATGGGAACAGTGAGCACCTAAGTATTCCCTGCCTCTGTCTCACTATGGAGTCACTTGACTCCACGTAAGAGGTTTGTGAAAAGGTGAACTCTTGACAGAACTGCTGCTACTTCTGTCATGGAAAATACCTTTATTGCAGTCCCACATGGAATACACCTTGGGCTCTCATCTGAACTAACACAGGAATAGCTTGGCTATCTCCATCCATGCCAATGGTCGGTCACCCCTAGCTCCAAGCACCATTCTTAGAAAATCTGACAAAGGCAGCATAACAGCAAGAATCATAATAACCTTAAGTACAATCTGAGTAGGCAAAGGGTCAATGATATTAAACAATCATAATGACAATGATGCGAATAGCACCCGGCCCAGATAAGGTCAGACCCGAACACCTGAAGAACCTGCCGTCAGTACTCACCAATACACTGGCATGACTTTTCACACACTACCTGTCTGAATGCAAGGTTCCATCCCATTGGAAAACCAGCAGGACTGTACTACTGTACAAGGGAGACATCCACGACATTGGCAACTATCTCCAGATCTGCCTGTTGTCTGTTGTCTACAAGCTATTCACTCGAGTTATCCTGAATAGGATTGGCATAACTCTAGATGAAGGACAACCATGCAAGCAAGCCAGTTTCCAAAAAGGATTCAGCACAATCGGCCATATACACATGATAACCAAACTCATTGAGGTCTCTCGGGAGTTCAAGATGCTGCTCTGTCTAACGTTCATCGATTTAAAGAAGGCCTTTGATTCTGTTGAGACTGAAGTGGTCATCGAAGTCCTAGCCAAGCAGGGTGTTCAAACTCAATACATCAGGATACTCCATGAGCTGTATTATGGATTCACCACCAGGATCTCACCATTCTACAAAGAAGTGATCATCGATGTCAGGAGAGGGGTTCGGCAGGGTGATACCATTTCACCAAAACTCTTCAGTGCCACCCTCCAGAATGTCATGCGACAACTAGAATGGGAAGGAATGGGAGTGAAGATAGACAGTCAGCAACTACACCACCTCCGCTTCGCTGATGACATCGTTCTAATAACACCAAACATCAGCCAAGCGGTACAAATGCTGGCTGACTTTGACCATGAGTGTGGAAAGGTCGGACTACAGCTAAATCTCACAAAGACAATGTTTATGAGAAACGGTCTCGTTCCTGACATCCATTCACTCTCAACGGGACAAACATCTCCAAATGCAACAGTTATGTGTACCTAGGTCAAGAAGTCAACATGGCGAATGACCTGGCACCTGAGTTGTGCAGGAGGAAGAGAGCCGCTTGGAACGCCTTCAAGAGCATCAAAGAAATTGCTAAGAGGACAAAGAACCTCCGGTCCAGGCACGTCTCTTCGACTCCACTGTTCTTCCTGCATTGACATACCGGATGAGAACGCTATTTGGGTCTCCCAAAGAGGAATTGAAAGAACTATGCTTGGAGTATCATGCTTCACTCAAATGAGTGAAAGAATCCGGAGTTCTGACCTCAGTCAACGTTCAAGAATCAGGGATGCTGTCTCATTTGCCAAGGCGTCGAAAATCTGATGGGCTGGACACATAATGAGATTTAGAGATGTCCGGTGGACTAGAGTCATTACCGACTGAATTCCATGGGACGTCAAAAGATCGCGTGGCCGCCAACCTATGAGATGGTCAGACTTCCTTGTCAAGAACCTGAACAATCGGTTTGAGGCTGTTTGTGTTCCTAGAACAAGCAGATGCCACTGGGCTACACTAGCACGCGACAGGGACAAATGGAGACATTACTGGTGCCCGTTCGAGCAAATTGATGAATAACGGGATGTCAAGTGATCAAGTGATCAATGACAATGATCACTATCACTATCACTAGCACCACGTTGTTCTTCAATTCGCTCAAGCGGACCCAGTAACATCTCCATTCGTCCCTGTAACGTGCATGTGTAGCCCAATGACATTTTGGGGGCTCCTTCAGGGTCAGGGGAATGAGGACCATTCATTGTTACTGTTTTTGACATATCGAGTATGCCACGGGTAGCTTGTCAGGCTCTGCCGTGCGGGTGGGATACTCTCGGTAGCTTGCCGGGCTCACTGAGACTGATGGAGGCTTTGGGGGCAGCCTCTAATCACCTTTACAGGTGTTTCTAGCCAGGCATATAGGTGGGTATGATACTCTCAGTAGCCTTCTGGGTTGTCTGAGAGTGAGAACTGGAGAATACGAGGTTGCTTCCGGGAGCTTGGTTTTAGAGTCTCTGGATGACTGGTGATGGGTTACACGGCAGTTGGTGGGTGTAACTGTCTAGCTACTGGAAGGTGGGGGAGCTGGGTGGAGGAGGCCCAGACCCGAACCAAGCAGGCTCGGAGATCTCAGCCCCACGTCCCGCACACCTGGGTTCCTCTGCAGATTCCTTGTCCAAGCGTGTGGAGAGTGGTCTCAGCATGACTTTGACTGGGTCCCAGAGGTCTTCAGCTGTCGGGGCTCTGCTCGGGGTGGAGAGGGAAACTCAACCCGCCCTCCGCCAAAAGGGGCCCCAGTGAAGACTGCCAGGCGTGGGGGCAGGAGACTCTGCCTTGTTCTTTTCTGGGAGACAATGATATATATATGACAATGATAGTAGTAAATAAAATTACTATCAACGAATTGGATTGGAGACCACTGTCCAAGAACAAAGAGGGCACCAACCAACCTGTACTCCAGAGCACTTTACTTAGATGGCAGGGCATGAATAGAGAAGCAGAAAGACTTCATCACAGACTGCAACAGGCACAACAGGGAAACAGTGCAGAATGCCACCACACTTCGTGAACAAATAGTAGCCCTGATACCCAACCAGCACTAAGAGCCTAGCTAGTTTCTCTGATAAGGCATTTTGAAAGGCCTTAGTAGTGAGGATGTTCATTGACCTCAAAGAAGCAGTGTTATAGACAGTCAAGAAAACACAAGAAAGAGTGAGAAAAACAGAATAAAAGATGACAGAATTAAAGAAGTTGGTAGGTGAGGATCTAGAGTGATACAACAACGGGGACACTACTGCATGGCCTCCAGAACAAGCCAGAATTACCCCCAAGCAGAGAGCAGGGAGCAACCCTGAGCAATGGTGGATGGGCTAGCTCACAAAGCAACCAATCAAGCATACAAGATGCAAGGCAAATGCATCTTCCTTCCTCTACTGTCTCTCCAGCCCGAAGAGTTCTCGCTCTTACCACTTCTATTCGACTTCAAGTAATTAAGAAACTAAGGAGTCAGAAGGGACAATAAAGAAATTAAAGATATCCAAATTGAAAAGCAAGAAGTAAAACTATCACTAGGCATATTGACTTTTTAGTAGAAAACCAGGATGATCTCATACACCTCTCACACACATCTGTTAGAATTCAGCCAAGTGGCAGGCTACAAAATCAGTATTTTTTAAAAGGGTGCCATTTCTGTAGTGTTTTTATGTTTCCCCTTCAAAAAGCACAAATTTTATAAGTAGCCAGTATAGCAAAGCGGGTAGGGCGTTTGCATTGCACATGGTCGACCCAGGTTCGATTCCTCCATCCCGCTCGGAGAGCCCAGCAAGCTATCGAGAGTAACCTGCCCACACGGCAGAGCCTGGCAAGCTCCCCATGGCATATTCAATATGCCAAAAACAGTAACAACAAGCCTCACAATGGTGACATTACTGGTGCCCGCCCGAGCGAACTGATGACAACCGAAGGACAGACAGTGCAATATAGCCAAGATATGCAAGCTGTACTGAAAACAAAAGTTTAAATACTCCTACATCTTTTTGTTCTTTGAGAAGCTTTACTCTCATAGCTGACTCAGTAATATTTTGCAAGTAAGAGATCATGATCAACACAAGGGCCAGGATAATCAGGTCAATGCTGGTCTGATAACACCCTTCAATTAAATAACTTTGGTAGGTAATTCTATTTTCTGCTATCACAACAGAGTAATGTAAATGTTAACTGATAGCTGAACAATATAGAATGAGAATGTTAGTGGTCAAGGATAAGTTACCATGATTTGGATGTTTGTAATAAGCTTATTGTTATATGTAGCAACATACAACTTCAATTTCTTTCTATTTAGACTGACTTGTATTAATTCCTCATCTTTTCAGTCTCCCTAACATCCCCAATGTTGTTTGGCTACAAATACAACCTGCCACACAGAAAGAAAAGAAACCAAATTCAAGGGTGTGTTAGAAGAAAAAACAAAACCCAAAAATGGAGTTTGTAATATTTACCTTATTCTCTTTGATGGTGTGACTTACCCGACAAAGCATGCATAGTGAGCCTCTGAGCCAAACAGGAAATCCCCTTTTATGTTGGTTATTTCCCCATTACTGGGCACTGGTGGATGTGGACATGCCTTTTCTAAGGGAAAATATCAAATTCACCATTTTATATAAATTTCCAAGTAGATCTAAATTTAAAACAAAAGCTCACATTGTGCCTTTATACTTAAGGGATTATTACTTTCCTTAATTACTGTAAGGGCAAAAGTGAGGTTCACGTTTACCCAGGCATCTACATGCCAAGAAAGACTCCCAGAGATTTTTTCAAAACCTGAACAAATACACTACATAAAACCTATACTCTCGTGATAAAAATGGTAATAGACAAGCACCAGCACCATGTGAGAGAGTCATAGGTCACAGATTGAAAAGGAAACCTGTGTATCCGTCTACCTACTCTCAGAACTCAGTTCTTGTCCAGAGTGATAATTTCTAAGTATCATGTCATAACCTTGATTCTAACTGCCCTCATCCCACCCTTCTACTTGTGGCAACATCTCAGTACTTATACTTCCAAGTTATAATGATGCAAGAATGAAGGAAATAGTGACAGAAAGATGGAAGAAGGAAGAAGGAAGAAGGAAGAAGGAAGAAGGAAGGAGGAAGAAAGGAGAAGGAGGAGAAGGAGGATAGAGGCAGGATGAGGTGTGAGAAACTGGAGGGCTCATGCAGAGGGTAACAGGAAGGAAATTGGGACACTGATGGTGAGAAATGTACACTGGAGAAGGGACAGGAACATTGTATGACTGAAACTAAGTCATAACAAACTTGTAATTGTGTACCGCATGGTGATTCAATAAAATATCAAATCAAATTCAAAGCAAAGGGGGAAAATAAAGAAAAGAAAAAGGCAGCCTGGTTTACTTACTGGTACAAGCCTCCTGGAGTGCTGTCCATGTGCCATCGTCATTACAAACAGTACGGGCGGGAAGCGTAAAGACGCGCCTGTACCCTGGGCGGCACTCATAATCTACTCTCTCCCCAGGACTGTACGAAGATTTACTGTCCCCCTTGATCTTCATAGACTGGTATCTTGGTGGTGCATCGCAGGCACCTAGAGATGAGAGTGATTCCAGTGAATACCGAACGTTTCTCTTGCACCACTCACAGGAGCTGGGACCAACGAGAATCAATGAAAAGGCACAGAGGGATCTTCCAGAATGCTCCATGTATGTACCCCTGCTGTGGAGAGGGAGATAACACCCTATTTGCCAGCCTTGGTTTCTGGGGAACAAGCCGCAGTTTCATTCCCCGGGAACCTGAGAACCAGCACGGACACCCTAGGCTAGCAGGTACTTAGCATGCAGGGGGAGGGCCTCCCACAACTGTCATGCTACTAAGGATTTCACAGGTTGCAGACATCAAGTGCCATCCATGCCAACTACTCCACTCCTGTCCCAGACTTGCTGGATCCCTCAGGGTTGGCAATGAGTCTCGCAGGCGATTCTGAACGAACCAGGGCTGGGTGAGTGCAGTGCACAGCCCAGAGGACACTCCGAAGGGGCAGTTGGACGAATGCAGCTGGGCAGACTGGCTCCACTTAGCTACTCTGAAGTCCCTGCTGGGCTCCTACTCCCCCCTCTCTCACTGCTCACATCACTCTCCCCTGCACACTCAATGCTCACACCACTGCCCCCATTCGCTGACTGCTCACTCCACTCTCCTCTGCACACGTACTGCTCACACCACTCTCCCTATCCGCTGACCACTCACTCCAAACTCTCTCCTGCACACTCACTGCTCACACCACTGCCCCCATCCGTTAACTTTTCACTCCACTCTCCCCTGCACACTTATTGCTCACACCACTCTCTCCTATCCGCTGACCGCTCACTCCACAACCCCTGCACATGCACAGCTCACACAACTGCCCCTATCTACTGACTGCTCACTCCACTCTCCCCTGCACACGCACTGCTCACACCACTCTCCCCTATCTGCTGATGCTCACTCCACACTCTCCACTGCACAATCACTGCTCACACCAGTGCCCCCTACCTGCTGACTGCTCACTCCACACTCTCCCTTGCACATGCACTGCTCACACCACTCTCCCCTATCCGCAAACCAATAACTCCACTCTCCCCTGCACACTCACTGCTCGCACCACTCTCCTGTATCCCGACTGCTCACTCCACACTCGCCCCTGCACACGCACTGCTTACACCACTGTCCCCTAAGTGCTGACTGCTCATTCCACACTGTCCCCTGCACACGCACTGCTCACACCACTGCCCCCTACCCGCTGACCGCTCACCCCACACTCTACCCTGCACACGCACTGCTCACACCACTGCCCCCTACCCGCTGACCGCTCACCCCACACTCTACCCTGCACACGCACTGCTCACACCACTGCCCCCTATGCGCTGACTGCTCACTCCACCCTGCACACGCACTGCTCACACCACTGCCCCCTACCCGCTGACCCTCACCCCACACTCTGCCCTGCACACGCCCTGCTCACACCACTGCCCCCTACCCGCTGACCGCTCACCCCACACTCTACCCTGCACATGCACTGCTCACACCACTGCCCCCTATGCGCTGACTGCTCACTCCACTCTGCCCTGCACACGCACTGCTCACACCACTGCCCCCTACCCGCTGACCGCTCACCCCACACTCTACCCTGCACACGCACTGCTCACACCACTGCCCCCTACCCGCTGAGCGCTCACCCCACACTCTGCCCTGCACACGCCCTGCTCACACCACTGCCCCCTGCCCGCTGAGCGCTCCCGCCCACACCGCCCTTCCCCCCCAGGAGTAGACAAACCACCTGGGTGCCGTCAAATCTACCACCTGGCAAGGGCGATTCTAGTCCCACTTCCGCTGTCCCTGGACACTGCCCTCTGGCATCAGGCGCCCAGCCTGGGACCCACAGTGTGTGTGGCGCTCAGGGCCGATGACCGTCTCCGCGGGCTTCGGGGCACCGCCAGGCCTGTCCCTCCGCAGGGTTCCTTGGGCCGCGGGCTGGCTGGACCCCGGGGTGCGCGGCGGTGCTGGGGTCGGGGGGCGGCCCGGGCACGCCCACAGGGCAAGGGGCCGTGGCCCGCGCATCCCTCCGTGTCCCGCGCCTCCCCTGTGCCCGGGACCAGCGCGAGAGGCCCGAGAGCGGCCGGCGCTTCCCCCTGCCCCGCCCAGCCCGCCCGGTGGCGTCGCCGGACCCGCAGCCACTCGGGTCCGGGACCGCCCTCGGCCGCGCCCGCTCTACCGTGGGGCCTGGGCAGCGTGAGCAGCAGCGCCGCAGCGAGGGTCCCGGGCCAGCCTCGGAGGGCAGCGCGGCTCCCGGGGCGGTGGGCGAGCGCCGGCATTTCGGGGACCTGGGTGGTCCCGGCCCACCGGGCCCTCGGAACCAGCTGCGGTGCCCGAGGAGAAGCGCCTCGGAGCCTGCGGCCGATCCTGAGGGCCCGAGGGCTGCGCGGCTGGGGCGGCGGGGCGGGGCCTCTGTGACGGAGGGGCGGGGCCGGCTTCCCTCCGCCAATGGGCTCTCTGGGCCCCGCCCACACGCGGGGGCACTTCCTGCCGCCAGGCTGGCCCCGCCCCGGAAGTCGGCTGTCGGGACCGGAAGTCCGGACTGAGAGCAGAGTCGCGCGGGGCGGCAGCTGCGGCCTGACAGGGGTTGTCCGTTCTCTGGGCTGAAGAGAGACAAGCTCCACACGGAAGTGGCTCCGCTCGGTGGGCACAGGAGTGTGCGCGGCTCCAGTCTCCGTGGGGACCCTGCCCGCGGCCACTGCCTGTGACCTCGGGACACAGGTCGGGGCCTGGAGCCGAGCCCGCGCGAAGTCCCGAGGAGGCCGCGTGGGCGGTGCGTCCTAGGCCCGGGCTCCGCGGGGCGGCGGGTGGCCCGCGTGACCAGGGACCATAGGCCCGGAACCCACGGAGGACAGCGGCGGCCCACGTGACCGTGGACTGTAGGCCCGGAACTCACAGACTGAGGTGGGCGGCCTGCGTGACCAGGGACTGTAGGCCCAGATCCCACAGAAGATGGCCGGCGGCCCGTGTGACCAGGGACTGTAGGCCCAGAACCCACGGAGCACAGCGGGCGGCCCACGTGACCGTGGACTGTAGGCCTGGGCCCCATGGAGCAAGGGGGGAAGGGTGTGTGTTGTTCAGGGGGACGTGGGGGGTAGAAGGAGCCTCAGGGCGGGGCTGAGCAGGTGTCCAGGGACTGAGACCCTCCTGGGAGAGCAATTGGTTAGCCATGTGCTTGGGAGCATTTGGTGAGTGGTGATTGGCTAAAGCTCCCACCAGCTAGACTCCTGCGTTCAGGATTGTTGGTGTAACTGGTGCCTGATATTGCTCCGTTTCTTTGCCCTCAGGAACTATGTTGGTAGCCCCCAGCACCAGAACTACTCTTTCTTCAGTCTGTGAATAGAGTGCACAGCTAAGAAACACGGACTCCAAGAAACACTCTTCATTCTGTGTTGCTGGCACTCACTCATGGTTTTCCTGGATTTCTTGCTCAAACCTTGAAAAATGTGCTCTCCACCTAGGGACATCTCCTGGTTGGGGAGAGCAAGGGGCAGTCTAGCCTCTGCCTGACAATACCAGCACCCCTGTTTTCTGCTGGACCAGGGGCTACATGTCTGGTTTGTGTTCAAGCAAGGCAGAGATGGGGACAGGAGGGTATGTAAGCCACTTTGGTTTGTTGAGAGGACGGATAAGCTGTGCACTGGAGCTGACCCAGGCTTATTTCCTTGACTTAGAACAATAGTTCATTGCCTGCAGCTTGAGATCTTTGTTCAAGGAGCAACCCCTATTATTTATTTTTATAATTAAATCAACGTAAGATCACTTGATCACTTGATATCCCGTTACTCATCAGTCTGCTCAAGCGGGCACTAGCAACGTTTCCATTCGTCCCGGTCGTGTGCTAGTGTAGCCTAGTGCCGTCTGCTCATTATAGGAACACGAACAGCTTCAAATCGATCGTTCAGGGTCTTAACAGAGAAGTCTGACCATCTCATAGGTGGGCGGTCACGTGATCTTTTGAGGTCCTGTGGAATCCATTCAGTAATGGCTCTAGTCCAACGGTCGTCTCCAAATCTCATTATGTGTCCAGCTCATATGATTTTTGGCACCTTGGCCAATGAAACAGAGTCCCTGATTCTTGATTGTAGATGGAGGTTTGAAATCCAGATTATTTCTCTCATTTGAGTGAAGCATGATACTCCAAGCATAGCCCTTTCGATTCCTCTTTGGGAGACCCAAATAGCATTTTCATCCTGTTTGCATAGGGCCCAGGTCTCTGAGGCGTATATTAATGCAGGAAGAACAGTGGAATCGAAGAGATGTGCCCAGAGCCGGAGGTTCTTCATCCTCTTAGCTATTTCTTCAGTGCTCTTGAAGGCATTCCAAGCCACTCTCTTCCTCCTGCGCAACTCAGGTGCCAGGTCATTCGTCATGTTGACTTCTCGACCTAGGTACAAATAACTGTTGCATTCAGAGATGTTCGTCCCATTGAGAGCAAGTGGAACATCAGAAACGAGACCATTTCTCATAAACATTGTCTTCATGAGATTCAACTGTGGTCCGACCTTTCCACGGTCAAAGTCGGCCAGCATTTGTGCCATTTGGCTGATATTTGGTGTTATTAGAATGATGTCATCAGCAAAGCGGAGGTGGTGTAGTTACCAACCGTCTATCTTCACTCCCATTTCCTCCCATTCTAGTCATCGCATGACATCCTCAAGGGTGGCACTGAAGAGTTTCGGTGAAATGGTATCATCATGCCAAACCCCTCTCTTGACGTCAATGATCACCTCCCTGTAGAATGGTGAGATCCTGGTAGTGAATCCGCAATATAGCTCACAGAAGATCCTGATCTATTGAGTTTGAACCCCCTGTTTGACTAGGGCTTCAGTGATCACTTCAGTCTCAACAGAATCAAAGGCCTTCTTTAAATCAATGAACGTTAG